CCAGAGATGCCTCCTCCTGTTTGTCATTTACATCAAAAGAATGAAAATATCAATTCAGAACTTACAAGTATGCCTGAGTGTTTAATGTGTGAGGCTTATGAACGATGGCATAGAAAGTTTCAATTTACAGTAGATGACATTATTGCGAAGTCCAATATTCATGACTGCAATTATGGACTCAACAAAGATGGATCTACTAAAAAAAACATCCAATTTAAACACTGTTGTGATAATCCTCAACATAAATGTAAAGGTAGATTTCCAAGGCCTATCTCTCTGTATACTATCATAGATTTAGACACCGGAGCTATTACCATGAAAAAGAGGGAACCTATGATTAACACTTTTACTCCAGCTTTGTCTTATTTAATGAGATGTAATACTGATGTCACTCAATTGTTATCAGGAACTGCAATCAAAGCAGTAATAGTCTATGTTTCAGATTATATCACAAAATCCTCACTTAAAACCCATGTTGTCTTCAATGCCATAACAACTACTTTTACTAAAACTCCAGAATTGATAGTAGGAGATGAAAGTCGTAGAACTAGAGCTAGGAAACTACTCACTAAAGTGGTAAATTTGCTTGGTACCAAAATGGAGATGGGAGCGCCCACAGTTTGTATGTATCTGTTAGGAAATCCTGATCATTACACTAGTCATAGATTTCATTCTTTTTATTGGAGGCCGTATGTTCAGCACGTTCGGAGGTGTGTAGACAATGAGGAAGAGGAAGAAGAAAAGGTAATGATTCTCAAAAAACAAAATAAAATTATAGGTTTATCTCCTGTCTATGACTACATTTATAGACCATTGGAACTTGAAAAAATGAATTTGTATGATTTCATTCGGAGAGCCGAAAGAGTAAAAGCAAAAACAATTAAAGTGTCCGAAAACAAATCTAATGTTCAGGATCGGGATGCCGCTGAAGGATTAATGGATGAAGATGGACGAAATGAAAACACTTGTGACTCAAATATGGATGTCGATGACAACATTGTAATGAATGAGGAAAAGACCACCTATGATCGGGGTGCCGACAAGCGGAACACCGCTGACACAAAAAATGCGGACAATGAAAACGGATATCAAGAGTATGAAGAAGACCCCTCTATTGACTATGACACAACTAAAAACTCTAAAAGCAGATTGAGATTTCATAAAAAACATCCTCTATACAGGAACTATGCAATCAAACTAACTAAAGAAAGCCATTTAGATGTAGTTAACTTTCTAGGCCAGGATCCACCCCGAAGTGATCAAGGAGATTATGAATACTATTGTTCTACAATGCTGACTTTTTTCAAGCCTTGGAGATCTGGCTTTGATCTTAGAAGTCCTGAAGTTTCAAGTTGGGCTTCTGCTTTTCAACTTCATTGTTTTACTGACAGGCAAAAACAACTGATAAAAAATTTCAATATTAGATATGAATGTTTAGATGCTAGAGATGACTACCATGCTCAGCTGAAGGCAAAAGGTGAAGTTGAATTAGAAGATCTAGACCTTCCTGGTTATAAACAAAGCAATGGATTAGAAGAAAATGACAGTGAAGATGAATGGAATGTGGAGTTGATTGGAGAAGGCCACAATGTCGAAAAAGACGACCCTTTGTCCTGGGACTGGGAAGATCTTGAAATAGGCAAACACTTTGCTAAAAAGTCTCAAGACATGAAACAAATGCATAACCTATTAACAAGAGTAGGGTGGGAAAGACCAATTATTCAACAGAAATCAACTGATTTTGTTGCTCCTAATGAAGAGCCAGTTGAAAAAACCACTGAAATTCCTTTTAAAACACCAAGTCAATGGAAAGCTATTCTTTTGGCAAAGAAACAAGAAGTCTTGAATGGAAGAACCAAAGAAAGTGAAGATAATTTCACTGTTAATCAAGGAAAAAGTAGATCCTTTGTTGATCAAGTAGAAGTTACTGATATGGGATACCTTGTAAAACAGCGGCTTGCCGAACAAGAGCAAGAAGATTTGGTCCAAACAACTGTAAAAATATATCGTTTAAATGAAGAACAGGAACGTGCATTCAGAATAATAGCTCAACATGCAGCAATGCCAAATAGTGACCAATTAAAGATGTATATTGGTGGAATGGGCGGCACAGGTAAATCAAGGGTATTGCATGCAGTAATCCATCTTTTTAAACTCAAAGGCCACCCTGGTAGCCTTTTGATTTTAGCCCCCACAGGAAGTGCTGCTGCACTTTTAGGTGGTTCAACATATCATTCAGTATTAGGATTGAATGAGCGAAATATTAAAAAATCTTTATCCAAAGTTACTGAAAGGTTACAAGGCGTTAAATATATATTTATTGATGAAATTTCAATGGTATCAGCAAGAGAGTTCTATAAAATTTCATCAAGACTTAGTCAGGCAAGAAATGCAGAAGATTTGCCTTTTGGGGGTGTAAATATGATTGCAGCAGGAGATTTTGCTCAGCTGCCTCCCGCAGTTGGTGGTGAAAACATTGCACTTTACAGTCAAACAATAGGTCAATATGGAACTTCTATGTCTGATCAAGAGGCTGCTATGGGTAAAGCTCAATGGCATGGTTTTACAACTGTAGTTATTCTCCGAAAAAATATGAGACAGACGTCACAAACTGAAGATGATAAAAAATTCCGGACTTGTCTTGAAAATCTACGGTACAAACAGTGCACTGCTGCAGACATTGCTTTTCTAAATAGTAGAATTACTTCCAATATTCCTGGTAAACCTTCCGTATGTAATAACGTTTTTAGACAAGTTCCTATTATTACAGCTTGGAATGCACATAAAGATAAAATTAATGAAGTTGGTTGTAAAAGATACGCTCTTGAAACTGAACAGGAGCTGTGTCATTTTTATAGTAAGGATGTCGGAGTGCCGCCAGGAAAACAAAAATTGGATGAAAAGGTGGCAAAAAGGATTAAGAGAACAGTTAGGCTCACAAAAGTACCTGAAAAAATTCAAAGACATTTATGGACACTTCCCAATAGTAACTCCAATGAACAGATTCCAAGTAAATTGTCACTATGTAAAGGAATGCCAGTTATGATCCGAACCAATTTAGCTACGGAACTAAGTGTAACAAAAGGTCAAGAAGGTAAAGTATACGACTGGACTTGCCATGAAGGAAAATATGGAGTTCAACACTTAGACACCCTTTTTGTAGAACTTGTTGATCCTCCTACTCCTGTGCAACTGCCTGAATTGCCATTTAATGTTGTACCAATAACAACATCACAAACTGAAATTACAGTAAAGATAAAAAATGACTGGGGTGTAACTGTTAATCGTAATCAAGTTGAAGTGCTGCCTTCCTTTGCAATGACAGACTTTGCCTCGCAAGGCAAAACTAGACCACGTAATCCAGTGGACATACAAAACTGTAAAGATTACCATGGTGTATATACAGCCTTGTCCAGAAGTGCTACAGCTGAAGGAACTCTTATATTGCAAGCATTTGACCCTAACAAACTTAAAGGAGGAATTAGAGGCTCTTTAAGACAGGAATATAGAGAACTAGAGATGTTAGATGACATTACAACTTTGAGATATCAAAATCTGCTTCCTAAAAATGTGGTAGGTCTACATAGAGGACAGTTGATTTCTACTTTCAGACAATGGAAAGGATGGAAACACAATCCTGAACATCTGCATACTTCATTAAAATGGAAAACAGAAGATGATTTTCAACAGACTACCTTGGAAGATTATTCTTGGAAAATTTTAAAAGCTAGTAACCAGAAAAAATCTCAACCTACAAAAGTGAAGATCCCACAAGAAGATGCCTCAGTGAAAAACACTAAAAGGAAACGTGAAGACGAAGATGAATCTCAAACTAAAAGAGTGAGATACACCAACACATCAGAAAGTTGTATTATAGGTCCTACTTGGTCGGAAAATAGTTGTGCTTATGACTCAGTTGTGAGTATTCTATATTTTTACTGGAAACAAAATGTGAATCGAGAAATCCTTTTTTTTAAGAATCCTATAATGGAAGCATTAGTTGAATTATTCAGGAAGGAAGAGTCCAATTTGATCACCATCAACACAGTAAGAAATCATTTCAGGCAAATATTATGTTCAGCATTCCCTGAAACCTTTACTGTAGGAAGATTTGCCAGTGTACATGAAATAATGAGTATTCTGTGTAACCATGATAGCTCTTTATTGTACACTTATTATGAATGTATCAATTCCCATTACTTTGATAGACGAGAGGGCAATTCCTGCAATTCTTTTATTCATTGGACTGGAAATAATGGATTCCGTTCAATATCAGAATGGATATCCAACCTTAGTATTGAAACTAACCATAAATGTCCAATTTCTACATGTAATGAACCCCAAAATATAAAAGTTAGTTTTACTTCAACACCCGGAATAATGAGTTTTGAACTTCATAGTGAATCCAGCACTTACATTGACCATGAAATATCAATTTCGATCAACAATAGAAGCCACAGTTATAAATTGATAGGTGTAATATATTTTGGACAGAGTCATTTTACATCCCGCGTCCTGAACCCACAGAATGAAGTTTATTATTATGATGGAATAGGTAACCACACTTTCAGCTACAATGGTAATTTGATTCACCGCAACTTGAATCTAGAAGAGAGCCGAAACAAAAAAGCAACAGTTGCGATTTACGCTATACAACCCACTACGTAGAAATATCAATGTCTAAGCACCTGGCTTAAAACACGAATGCGGAATGCCGACAGTTTGGTGTTGCTGAAACGAAGTGATTAATCAAAAATGCCTAGGTGCGACATTTCTCATTCCAAGCAGTAATCAATGAGTTTGTTCTTGCCGCTACAAATCACGCGGCGTCCGTACAAAAACTCATGCGGCTTGCCCGATCCATTGGTCATCTCGACCTTTTTTGTCCGGTACGTGTCTTGTCAACCAACAACGGCATCCTCGTATACTTGCGGAATGTCGATAAACTTAACGTCAATGAGCTTTTATGCAACAAAAACTAAGACACATACAGGGGGTTATGCCTCAGCCGGGAATCGAACCCAGGACGTCTTGATTGTCTAGTATCAAATTTGTGGTACTATAATCAAGGGCTATTCCACTAAGCCACTGAGGCTACAAATATGTACCAAAATAGATGTCCGCAACATTCCTTTTGAACAAGTAGGTCGCACTTCATAAAGACAGGTCTTGGGGCTTGCTCGTTCTATCGCTATATCTTCTGTCGGCCGTCCCAGCATCGGCTTATTTACCTGCGGACGGCCGATGAACTTTTATCCAAAAGAGTAAGTCACCTTGCTGTTAAAGTGCAATGACCGTGAAGAACAAGTTTTTAATGTCGGTATGCGTCCACTGTTAAATGTCAACTAGCCGATTGAAAATACAGCCTATACAGTACTATTCTCGTCTGTTCCGAAACACGGGAATTTCCACAACAGGCACCAATTTTTTAACCTTCTCTGCAATGACGTCCGGGCCGTTAAGAATGTGGGAAAATTCTTCCAACAGATCGAGGCATTCATCATCGCCGGTCTGCCCGTCCTCCAATCGATCCAATATATGATCTAGTTTTTCAGAACGCTCTTCACCGGCAAGCCGAATCTCCTCAGAAGCCTTCTCAATTTCCTCGGCTATCTCATACAGTCGCTCTTCATCTACTCCGAAAATCAGAGTAAGCTGACTTTGAAACAAAGAAACTCACCAGCTTTGGTAAGTACCAAATTATGGACCGGAGCCGATACAGTAAGGGGTTTACTAGCGGAACCCTGAATAAAACTGGTTTTCATATCTTGATCCATATCGCTCTGAAATGTGTTAGCGAAGTTCAGAAGTCGCATATTAGGCTTACCGAATCCAAAATTTCTATGATCTCCCGACCGCTTGGCATTTGTTTCAACCGAGCGCTAATGACATTGGGGTTCCGGGACGCCGTAAATAAGCTGATCGGCTTGCCGACATTATTCGCTTCGTCCAGTGCGTCAAAATTCGCCATGAACGTAGCGTTGATGGCCTCCCCAAGGGTGGGCGCTTGCCGTGAAGCTTCAGTATCCATTCTAAAAAAAATGAGGTAAACAAGGAGGGACAGGAAAATAACACTGACCTTTTCGCTCGAAAGGCTTCCTTTTGTTCTGCAATCTTGGCCAAACGATTGTCACGGAGTCCCGCGCGCACGCGATTGCGCTGATCGTGAAGTTTCTTTATACCAATTTCAAACTCAGTAAGTGGGCGGCCGGTGTCACCCCAATGTTCGTCTGTCGAAATTTCTGTAAAAGCACCCTCGTAATCAGGGGTGGGAGTCCTTGAGGGAGTAGAAGGCATGAAAATTGCATTCCAGTGAGGCTTTTTATAGTAACGAATCAGAAATTCCCACACTAATGATAGAATACTGTCGAACGTTTCAGAACATCACGTAATTCTTTGGCATGGAGGATATAAACGAGTTCACAGTACTCCATACCCCAACGATGTCCTCCTATACGCGTTGCCCTACACCTGACTTCTCCGAAACTGTCCCTGCAGTATTAGACGATGAAATATGGACGGGTCCCGCCACGAACTTGACCATTGAACAACTCAGGGAAAAAAACCGAATAGAACTGGCAAACATGGAAAGGCGATATCAAAGAACACTTCGGAATATCGAAATCAACCGAGCAATCGAACGGCATCGAACAGAGGAACAAAAGAAGGAAAACGCTTGGAACGCGGAACAAGCGCGGCGGATCGCCGCTGATGTAACAAGTTCACCCAAGGTGATATACAATCGTCCGGATGACCGCGTTTATCGCTGACTCTTTTTCCAGACGTCCAAGACCAATAAATTAAAGCAACCTTCTAATAAAAAAAACGACCCAGGTGAGGAAGACCGCTTTCGCTTTTGATTGGACGGCTCACCGTTTTTTAAGCTTGCCAGCGCTGCATAACGAACGGGTTGCCGTGTTTGCAGACAAAGACGCGCGCCATTTATTGCTTTCCGTGTCAGGAAGCCGGAGAGTCGTCTTCGTGTTCTATCAAAAAAGGCATATCCTTGACGGATGAAGTGCCCTTATCTGTTCAGGTAACAGAGAAACTTGAAGAAATCATCGAAAAAGTGGAAAAACGCGGAAAGGATCGCCAGGTTCAGTTGCAGAATATGGTAGACGGCGCCACCGCTTTTATTCGAAAAAGGAAGGAAGTGGAGCATTCGTTTGATCAAATTTTGGATGAACTGGAACGGATTGAAGGGCTTGATACTACCACAAAATAATGTATGCGGCCCCCCGACTGAAAGTGCCATTGTTTGCGGCATTCCGATGTATTAAAATTACGTACAATATCTACGGCACCCCGAAAGCATAAATGGCAATTGTGAAGATGACAGTGTACGTCATTTTAAAATCAATTACATAATTGACGTTGCCACTGTGTATATATAGAGGGCCAAAAAGTTTCATTGCTTCCTCACCCTTTCCCAACCACCCACTCCCAGTAACCATGGTAGCCTATGAAAGAAACCCAACTCCAGACTTTGCAACAACCTACCCTCAAATCTCCGAGGACGAACCAGAAAGCGATCGTCCCCCGACATCACTACAAGACTTCCAGAAAAGGAACGATCGGACCCTCCGAAACATAAGTCGACAGGAAAGACGCCATGCACAACGATTAAAAATAGAGGAGCAAATTTTTGAACATCGTGAAAAAGAGGACAGTGCCAAGGCAGAGGCCGAAGAACAAGAACGGCAGCGAGCTGAACGCATCTCGACGAGGGCTAAAAAACGCCGTGCCCTTCAACGGCTGGTCGATAAAAAGGTGGAGGAATCTCAACAACTTGAAGAAGAGGCTCAGATCAGTGACCACTCCGCTGCGGCGCCAAAGAAAAAGAAAGCCCGAGTAAGAGTTCCCTGACTTACATTGGCTGAAGCTCACTATCTGAACAGTTAACACGGGGTCGCCGCCCCTTCCTCACAGAAGGCCGGGGCTCCGACTCCGATTCCGAAAACCAATCCAACGGCAAGCCGACACGCGAACTGGAAGAACGCACTGTTGTGGTCAAGAAGGTGCGTGCTCCGTTTAACCAACAAAAGTGCCTAACCGTTTCCTAGAAAAACTATGCACCACCACAAGCACACGAAATAGGATTTGAAGACGGAGTAGCCGAAGCAAGCAAAAACAAACCGAATCAAAAAAAGAAATCGGCAACCAACAAAGAAAAGGCCAAGGAACAGCCCTCTACGGCAGTTAATAAATATGGCAAGTTCACCCCCTAAACTCACGGCTTTCCGCTCATATTAGATCAAGCATGCGAACAGTGCGTAAAAGCCAAAACTATCTGCACAAAACAACAGGGTGGCCAAACCGTCTGCTTTCCTTGCTTTGGGAGGAAGAAGAAATGCAGTCTGGCCAGCACGGCAGACCCGATGCAACGGCTTTCCGAAGCGATCGATCGCCTGAGTATCAAGCTCGAGACCGGAGATCAGTCATTTGATGAAAAGGCAGACCGGTTCCAGACTTGGCTGAAAGAACAGTCCAACGAACTGGTCAACCGCGAAGCCGAAAAAGCGGAGCTTGTACGCCAGTATGTAGCATTACTTAGGCAGTCCGCTTGAAAACGTATCCCCGTTCTTTTTTTTTGAACGTCTTGATGCAATGTTGATATGTACCGACTACTCATTTCGTACAATACATGTTAACCCTCCCTGCATGAGATAATCAGGCACCATCAATACATGTGACTCACGTAACCACAGGTATATAAGATGCCATTTCTCCTCGCCCATCTCAAAAAAAACCCCCATTTCCCACAACCATGACTGATAACAAAGAATTTCAGAGACAGCCAACTCCCGACTTTGCTGCGGCTGAACCGGTTATCTCAGACGATGAAGACCTGGTGACCCTCCCTGCCGGCGCAGACAAAGAAACGGCCGACAAATATTTTGCGGTATTACGTAGGAACCTCAACCGGGGCAGCCGCCGAGCTGAGCAAAAATGGCGGGTCGACGACCTCGTTGCGGCGCATCGAACGAAACAGGAAGAAGAGAGAAAGCAATTTGAAGAGCGGCTTGCCGAAGAAATGGAACGGGCAAAAATGGCAGAAATGAAACGGGCTGAAGTGGCAGAAAAAACAGGTGAGCGAACATTCGTACGGGAAGCCGAAAGGGAAAACCCAATTGCAGAAGACACCAACATGCAATGTCCGGAAGAAGCGCCAGAAGCGATACAACCCGGAAATGCCGAAGAAAGCAATCAAGACAAACCCACTGAAAACGATACCAACAACAGCGGTTCAACCGAAACAACCGACTCTGTGAGTGTGTTCACTTAGAAATGGATTCTGCTCACAACAAAACCAGATGGCGGTAGACCGCCCCCTCCCCTCAGCCGTTGATCCCGCTACAGAGAATGGTAAATTTTTGATCGCTTTGACGTCTCTTGACTGAATACATCATCAGGTTTTGACAAAATCGTTGCCGCAATCGACCGCCGAACCTCGCAAGAATCAGAATGCACCGCCAATCTGAAGGACCTCGTATCCGGGATAAAGGCGGGATTCGATAGCATGGCGGGAGAATATCGGGCTCTCCGCACTGAAATCAAAGCCCTGGTTGAGAGCAACACCGCCATTGCACAAAGCGTCGAGCGGTGGACCGAAGAATTGTTGAAGAAGAAAGAGAGAGAGCAAGCAGAGTCCAGTAACAGGAATAGGAAAGAAAAACGGTCTTTGGAAGAGAAGTCGACTACGCCCCCAGCCTCGAAAAAACCGAAAATGTAATCTCTAGTTGGTCGGCATGCCGGGAACATTTCTTGAGTCGTTTTAAAATGTACTGTACGATCTATTGCATTTGAAATTTTGAATAGGCGGCACACCGTGTGCGGCACCCCGCAATACCAATAACTGCAAAAGCAGTCAAATCTCTTTACCAACGGAATCCCGATGAAATATAACACGTAAAATGGAAGTTGATCGAACCACTCAGAACATAATTATTACATAATTGTGTCAAAACCACATATATACAGCGCCTGAATTTTTAAATGTATCCCCTTACCTCCACCTCCCTGAAAACATGACCTACCAACGAGTCCCAACCCCCAACTTCGACAACACTCTCACTTGCGTTTCAGAAAATGAGG